TTCTTAAAAATTAAAAAAAAAATATTTTAAAACTATATTATTTTAATAAATTTTCATTAAAAAAATTAAAATATCAAAATTTTAAATAATAAATTAGAGTATTTTTTTGTCATTTTATATAATACTTTATTAAAACTATATAGTTTTGAAAAAAAATTTCCTCTTAATTTTTAAGAGATAAGGAGAATAAGCATTAATCTTATATATATATAAACTAAAATATCATAATTTTCCTCTACCCCTACTAAAAATGTTGATCTTATTTAAGTAAAGGTTTCTTAGTTGAGTGAGACTTATCGAGTTTCATATTTAAACAGGTCTCGGTCTCGGTTTTGACAATCAATCCATCGTTGGCCCTAAAATATGACCAGATAAGGATCGATTCTTGGTCCCAAAATAATTAATCGGTTCCAGTCTCAACTCAAGCTTGCTGAATGCCAAGTCTATCCAGCCGATAGCCACCTCGAAATCTGTTTTTTTTGTTTTTTTTTAGTTTAAAAAAACAGGAAAAGTAACGTGTAAGAAAGCATAGCTACAACCATTAATTAATGAAGGACAGGTTCATAAAATTAGATAATTCTTTTTTTTTTATCAATAATTGTAGAAAAAAAATATTTTATATGATAAATTTTATATTAAAAATATAATTTATCTTATAAATTTACTTAAATATCTTTAATAAATTATTTTTTTATAATATTTTATTAAAAATATATAAGTAAATTCATAAACACTTGATTTTAAAAACCTAACGACACTAACTATTAAAAAGTACATTGCCTCCTCCCGGTTTTTAAACTCATCTCATATTAAAATATTCAAAAAAAAAATTCATAAGACAAAATTTACTTCTAAAAATATATAATATAATTTAAATTATATTAAATTACACTACCTTAATTATTAAATAAAAATTAAACTCCTTAATATTAAAAACTCTCTTCTATCCAATAATCACTATTTTATAATATAACACAATCTAGACTTTTTTTTCTTTTGCCAAAAAAATAGATACAATCCAAACTATAAATCAAAAATTCCATTTAAAACATGCCGTTTGCCCAACAATCTCTTAAAAAATTTAAACCAGAGTAATACAGTCTTTAGTCCTATGCCAAAATAAACATAGTTGAAAGAGTATAGTCTTTCAGAGGTGACGGGAAAGAAAGCAAATCTGATCATTTCCCTCTAGCACACCTGTTGTTACAATTTACAAATACAATACTACAAAAAACTTACTCTCTCTTTTTTGTGAATCCTACAAAAAGCTTTTGAGTTGAATTTCCAAGTGACAGTTTCTACAGAACACTGTGGGCACAATGTGCTTCAGCCTTCAGCCTCATCTCGTTTCCCTAAGAAACTATTTCCAGCAACTCAATGGAGTCACTCCAAAATAAGTTAGTTTTCTCCTTACCAGTTTGCAAGGGCCTTGTGTATCCGTAACCTCACCAAGAATATAATTGCTGTTGATTCACATAATATTCCTCTCTCCGCTTGTATCACATATCTATGAGCTCTAAAACTATTTTCTCATCTGAGTGAATAGCTCAGGAGGTTTCCCACTTCCTCCAAAGGCAGAGAAACCGCCAGTTCCTTGTTGGTTTCCAAAACCACCAAAACCACCACCTGCATATATTTTTCATGAAATGAGCAACGGGCATCAACAAATAACATAGCATGGGTTAACTGAAATTTAAATAAGGGAAAAGCAAACAAGATTGAGAGACTACCAGCTGAGGCAGCGCCTGCAAAACCACCACCACTGCCACCGCCAGCAGCTCCAGCAAAACCACCCCCAGCTGAGGCAGCAGCAGCAAAGCCTCCAGCTGAGGCAGCAGCAGCAAAGCCTCCAGCTGTAGAAGCTGCACCAGCAAATCCACCACCTTGGGAAGCCATAGCGGCAAACCCACCTCCTTGGGAAGCCATACCCGCAAATCCGCCACCAGCAAACCCACCTCCAGTTGCAGCATTTGAGAACCCACCGGTGGAGGGAGTATTAGCAAAACCACCACCAAAACCACTGGCAGAAGCAAAACCACTTCCCGGTAGACCAGCTCCGATCTGTCGTGACTGCCCAAAAGCACCAAGAACTGATCCCAGTGCCTGCTGTCCTGCTCCAAGCTGTGCTGGCTGGCCAAACCCACTTGGTGTTGGAGCTTGACCAGTTGTTGGAGCACCAAAACCACCAGTGAATGAACCAAAACTGGTTGGTTGAGATGGTTGGGAAGGCTGTGGTGAATTGAAGTTAAAGGATGCAGGTCGGAACAGCTCTCCTCCACTAGGAACTGTCATTGTGAATGGAGAGCTGGCTGGACTTGTTGCTGCATTCCCAAATGCAGCACCAAATGGATTTGACTTAGGAGCAGCTGAATTAGGGGTTGAGCCAATCCCAAAACCACCAAAACTTCCCAAACTAAGTTCAGGTCTTTGGATTGCCTCAGGAGCTTCCTCCTCCATCTCATCCTCCTCTGTACCTGTAACATCCAGGCTTTCACCTGTGGCACTAATAGTAGTTGACATTGGAGCCGAAAAAAGAGCACTTCCACTAGAAGGTGGCCCTTGCTGAGCACTCAATGCCACATCAGATGCAGGACTTGAAATATTGGTGGCACTGTGCTGACTTCCAGTTGACAATAGCATTGGAGTTTCAATTGTAAGTGCAGATAATACAGCAGACTCAGGCTTCTGACTAAATTCACCAACTGAAGAATCAGGTTTTGGTGGTGCTGCTGGTGCTGAGGTAACTGTGTCAACAGAGGATTGGGCCTGTGTTTTTGGTGTCTCTGTTTTGGTTATCTCTGATTTTGAAATCGCAGATGAATTTACAGGTGGTTGGACCTCAGTTTTTGAGGACTCTGAATTTGAACTAACAGAAGATGAAGGGGTAGACATGGGCACCAATGTCTTGGTAGGGTAAAGGGAGAATGAACTGGATGAGGAAAAAACAGGAGAGGGAGAAGTTGAGGAAGATGTTGAAGAAACAGTTTGCCTAGCATCTATCGCGACGGTTGAACTAGTTGTCGGATTGCCAAGCTGCATGGAAGATAATGACATTGGCACCGTGGAAGGCATAGAAAATAGAGATGCGGAGGTGGTTGATGAAGTAACTGCTGAAGATGATGGGGCCAAAACTGATTTAGAAATTGATGTCATGAATGATGAGGTTGATGCAGTAAATGAGGGCACAGATAATGACGATAGAGTTTCTGATGAACTAAACATTGAAGATGATGGAACTGCAACTGGCACCAAGAAGGCGGATGCAGGTGGTGATAACTTTTCAGCAGGCTGGCTTTTGCTGGTAGGAACACTGAACTGCAGAACTGTTGTCGATGGCCCAGTAGATGTAGAAACAGCAACTGAAGGAGGAAGCTGCAAATCAAGATTTTTACTGGAATCAAATAGTGAATGATTTGTGGTTGTTGGCACATGTTTTACACCTCCAATAGTAGAGACAGTTCCTTTGGTATTTGAATTTGGGATGTCAACAGATTTGTTTGACAATGATGGCATCTGGGAGATTGATGATCCTTGATATAGGCTAGGATTAGACTGCTGAGTAGACTGAATCTCTTTCTCACTTGTAGACAAGTAATTAGGCTTCTCAGGATAAGAACTCACACTAGCTGGTGTTGCTAAAGTAAAATTGGGGCGATTTTGGCCAGTGATAGGGTGGGATGCTGGTATTGATGACAGTGTGGGGTTACTCATTTGCATTGGAGACTTCCACCCGGTAGATTGGAATGATCCAGGAGGGATGTTAGCCCACCTGAATGGGGTTGGCTGGCTTTCTGAGGCCTGTGTTGGGAGTGCATCCTGAATGCCTGCTTTGAATAAGATGTGGAAAAGCAACAATGAACTGCTTTTTCTTGTAGAAATAGCTAGTGAAGTTAAGGAACTTAAAAATATTGAATGTTGTAACTTACTGCTCACCTTTGTTTCCAAAATGGGGCAAGGAGGATGAAGGTGTCACGTGAACCTTTTGCCTTGTGACTGCAGCTTCTTCACTGCAAGGGCTAAAGTTTTGCTTATCTATCAGCAATGATGATTTATCTACATTTGCCTTCTGAGAACCTGGCAAAAGCATCCTTTTTATGGTTGTTTTTGGAGGCTCAAAATGTGCCCAGCTCTGCAACAAGGTTATAGCAATTAATGAAACAGAGTGATTTTCGGAAAATAGCAAACAACACCACCCAAAGGAAACTCCATTACAAATAAAGAATTAACAGATCCAGAAAAAGAGTAAAAAGCTAAATGTAGAAATTGATACTCATATGCAGACAGACTGTCCCCATTCAATCTTTAGAAAAAAGAAAAAACCTTTTAAATTAAATAATATTCTTTAAATTTTTTCCTTTACTTTAAACAAAATAAGACTGTCGCCCCAAATGATACCTCTATTTATAGTTTTGCCTGCACTAAATAGAATTCTGAATCCATCCCTGCATGCATATGCATGAGGATAACCAAAGATAATAGAAATTAGTCAGAAAAAGTTACCTGATCTAGGGAGTCTCTCCTCCTCCTAGCAGTTTCTGGATCAAAACTTTTAAAAGCACTTGATTGGCATCTCCTGGACTGATCTTTTGAAGCAGAAGAATCAGAGGAAAGGGTGAGTTTCTTTACCACAGTGGTGTCACCAGCTTTTTTCACATTGGGAGAGATGAAAGAGTCATCATATGGGATTCCAATTGTCTGGAACAGCTCCTTCTTTACACTCTGTTGTTTTATGGGAGACTCCACACTCAGCATAGCCATTTGTTTCGAGAGACATTCAGAAAGGTGCTCAGCAGCCACTAGTTGTGAATTCGTTGTATTATGTAAAGTATTCAGGGACTGCATGCATCTGTGAAAAAAACCATGCACAGTTGTGCTGAGCAGCTGTGCTATTGTTGACAAAAATAAAATTAAGGTAACATGATATTTCACCATGACATTGAAGCTCATGAACTACAAAAAAAATTACCTTGAAGGTCCAGATCTGTTGTGTAAAGCTCTTCGGCCTGCAAGAACTCCATCATTATCACCAAATTTGTTGAGCTCAATAGTGTTGAAATGCCTCTCCAATTCAATTAGTTGATTGGTTAAATCCTGGAACAATTAACAACATAGAATTATAAATCTAAAATAAAAAAGTCTTCTGCACATAAAACATAATTGATAACTTACTTGATTTAATTTTAACGTATGTTTCCGCTTAAGCTCAAGCTCAGAACTCAACTTTTGACTATTCCAAAGTTCCCAATATTGTTTATCTGAAGCTTGCTTGACAATGCCTTCCATGTATATTTTCCTTGCCAAAACTGGAAAGCAGCTCAAGTGTTGTAGAAAAAGATTATCCAATTCAAAAGATTGTTAAGAGAACCAGAAAGTAACTCAGCAAACTATTAATCGGGGTGACTTAATGTCTATGTCTACCCTGCCGTAAAATCCTTCAACATTTTAAAGGGTAAAACATTCTTTCCCTTTCATCCCCTCATCCAAATTCTCTAGGTAATTTATCTTTTCTCCAAAATATCCACGCAAATAAATTATTCCGTGACATTTTGGATAAAATATCTTCTTCCATGTTATTATCTCTAATTGCTCTAAAATAGTTATTTTGAAGGGATGAGAATATTTGAAGCAGCAAAGTTTGCATGAAATAGGTATTATAAATTACAGCAATGCGTGAATTAGCATTTTTAAAATTAAGCTTTTCAGAATATTCTTTTATTAGAATAATTTCTTCAGAAGAATACAATTCCAGTAAGTTATTGCAACCTTCAAAATATTACTTTAAATTGTTTAAATCAACTTGCAAAGAAACATCTTTTGCATTCCAATGAAGCATTTGGAAAATCCAGAATACCTTGAACAGTTTTGTCAAGAAGCAACTCTATATCCCCAAGCCGCTGATCCAAAATGCCCTACAATGTCCAGAGATAGACCAGGTTGTGTAAGCAACACAACAATATAAGGCTACATGCAATCAATGGTTAACATTCAGAAAATCCAAAAAAAAAAAGAAGAGAGAGGAAATGAAGTACTTTAAATTTAAATAATATCCTAGTTAATATAATGTAAAAACAGGAATATTACCCATTGATGAATGCAGGTGGAAAAAGAAAAACATTTTTAATGGCATGCTGACATTCAAAGAATTGGCATACAACCGGGATGCAATTCAATATTCAAGAAGACACAGAAGGATTTCTCGCTGCCTCATCATTTGGGTATTTTAAATGAAACATAGGACAATATATTTATTAGATTGCATCAGATGTTTCTCAAAGTTAGGCTTTCTGAATGGACTCCCACAACTTTAGAACCCTATGATAAATGGAACTTCATAGGCTGTGTTCAAGGTACTTTGACTTGCATGAAAAATATGCATGCTTATTTCTCTGCTGTGTTCATTTTTTCCCCCTATCAAGCATCTTTCTGTTGGGCAATCCACAATGCTTGCTTAACAGATGTACTAGTCGCTTTTGTATGCTAGCTAATTGACTCAATTCAAAAGCACCTAGCTAGTCTAGCCTGAATAGAGAATAAGGACTTGCCAAGAGATAACTGCAATTCAACATTCTTCTCTTACAATTTCCTTATTTTACTCTTTTTTATATGGTTCTTAAGGGTCTGATGGTATGTTCCTAAAGAATGGTCTTAGAATCAGAAATTGTGATTTCCGCAAGTCAAACCCACTTCTTTTTCATATTATTTGTTGTATTCCTATCCCTATATCCATATTGTCTAAGAAGGCTACCAACCATTCATCAAGTATCTTATAGATATCATGTCAAAGAAAGATCATTTACACAAAACATTTAGTATATAAAAAGAAATGTGTCAAAGCCTATTAAAAGAGCTAGAGCTAGTAAGTTTTACCTTCCACATCCTACATTTGTCAGAAAGAGACACCATGCCCTGTTCCAGCGTTTCAACTGAACTTTTCTGAGAAATGGTGCAGGCATCCCTGAAGCCACCTCTTTCTTCTATAGATTGCAGTAGTGCATCCAATTCTTTAACCATCTCTTTAATCTGGAGAGGGAAAATGAGATCTACAAGTTTGTGAAATACAATGGCATCCACAGCAAAAAACAAGTATAGATGGAAAATGGGCAGATTTAAAATTTTATACTAAAGGTATTGCCATACACAAATATTAAAAGCAGAGGAAATTTCAGAGGAAAAGAATGTTTGGCTTTATTCTTAAAAAAGGTTTGCCATAAGGATCATAGGAAGAAAAAGCTTAAAGAGTACAGCCTTCAAGTAACATGTAAAGACAGAAAAGCAAGTATATACAAATAACTTAGACTCCTAACTGCTGTTCAAGAAAAAAATCCTTGGACTACTAATTATTTAAAGAGCCTGAGAAGAATAAACCAAATGTAGAATCAAAACTTGCATGCGGATGCACAAAATATATGAGCAATCACAAGACATGTACATTACATTATTAAATTGCTTTGACAAGTGTGGCTCTGATCTCATCATCCCTGATTGGGATGGCATTCTGTAGTCATCCTTGGAGTGAGAATGCTTTTGATTGGGAGAGTTTTCCGAAGTAAGATTTAACTGTGATGATAATTGTGAGCTACGAATTGGAGGTACAGATTCAATCTTTCCTGCCCCTAATACCCCTAATGAAGCACTCTGTGCCTCCGTCTCAGCCAGTCTAACTGACACAACGGCTGAAGTTGGTGCACCAGCAAGATCCTTCAAAGATGAGAAAGGTGAAAGGTTTCCAATGATGCTACCAGGAACATTGGCTACTCCCAAGGGAAAACTAGAAGTTTCAGATCTAGAACCTTGAACATAACTAAAAGGTGCAAGTGAAGATCTAACTTTAGACTCCTCCGTAACTATGACTTTTCCACTTGACAATGATGGAGATGATGTATTTGACCACGACTGAAATCCAATGGATCCAGTTTTTCCCATTGATTCCTTAGCCAATCCAACATGTTTTTGCAATTCATTATGATCCGATTGGGATGGAGTAGCAGTTACAATAGTCCCCAAAAAAGAAGCAGAACTAGACACATGTTCCCCCGTCTTCTGAGCATTGATCATACCAAAATCTTTCATCGGAAAACCAGGTCCTTGGATAGAATTCTTTGAAAATAATTCCCCTGAACTTATGCCTCGCTCCAAAGAGAACAATCTATCTTGACTCTCTGCATTCTGGTTAACAGCTTCGAAAGAATGAGCCCTTTCTGGAGATGCCAATTTCAGGTTCTCAGCAGTAGTAACTTCATTGAATGTCTTATTGTCTAAATTCCCATTCCAGAAAGTAAGGTTTGGGTCACTTTTTGTGGGAATTTCACTACTTCCACCAGTGACAATTTCCTTTTTATTTTCATCCTGTAATGGAATACCAGAAAACACTGGTTCTAATTTGTTTCCCTCCAATCCAGAAGAAACTTTAGCCAGATCACATTCTTTAGGCACCACAGCAAGGGCTTCCTCTTCTTCATCAGAAAGCACTGGAACATCAGGCGGACCTGTATTTTTTATGACACTGCAGTAAAACCCAATTTAAAGCTAATTTGATTGGTCATCTAATATGCTTAAATCTAACTGGTGTGATAAGAAAAATATAATAAAAGACCTACCTTGCAATGTGGAACACATTAAGCTTACCCTCTAGAGTAAGGCACATAAGAACACAATAAGGTGAAAGTTCCCTCTGTTCATCACCTCCAAGATGGAGTTTCACTTTCCCAAAGATAGAAACTTTGTCAATACAAAGCCCCATTATCAAATTATCATCACCATTATCTGACAAACAGTCAATTAACAAATTGCATTAGATTAAAGAATTAAACTCAATATCAAAGTATCAGATGATTTATCAGAGGCAGCAACAGGCAGTGGTATGTAAATTATGATAAGCATAGCACTGAAATCAGTAATTTTTAGCAAAGCAGTGTAAACCACCTAAAGGTGCATAACAAAAGGCCAGCCTAAAGGCCATGCAACTCATCTGCATTCTTCAACTTGACTTTCAAATTACAAGGTGAATATAACTTTCTTCTCTTGCAGTTGTTGGAATGAACATAAAACAGAAGGCCCCAATCTCGTATAATTTCACCCTTTTCCTGTTATTTACCAATCAAATTTATTTTTTATTTGCCATTTAGCCCAAAAAAATCACCTTTATTACAATATACAAGTGCATACAACAAAGCAATTATAATGCTCACAATATATAAAAATAAGACCTCTTAGGCAATAGTTTTGGTGGATGATTTTCTCACTTCAAAATTATCGTCCAAAAAAATTGAACTAAAATAGAGATTAAATTAGCATGAAATTGACTATCATCTAACTTCCTAGGCAGTTACAGTTACAGTTACAGTTACAGTTAAATATACTCAACAAAAAAATTTTTAAGTTGTTTTCATGAGCAAATGTCTTCTAAAGTATAAGATTAGTTTACTAATTACTAGAGACGTTGGTAGAAAGGCTCATGATGCATCATTTTCACATGGACAAACTCAAGATGCTACATAGTTCCTCAAGCATAAAGGACATTGCAACAAATAGATAATCACTCAAGTAAGTTCAACCAACTCTAAAAGTCAACTTTAAAAACCTTGAAGCTCAATTCTTGGGAGGAAATTATCTCTTTCAATATCAACAACTGCAGCTTCACCCTTCTCCTCACCCAATGACCAGCCAAGCAACACAATATGTTGATCTGTGTTCTTCCTGTTGGCAGCAACTGCAAGTTCACTGTGAATAGATGCAGAAAGAAAAGTTAGTAATAAACACCATATCCCAGAATACAATAGTGAACTTTTAAAACAGTGGACATGAAATTTGTCTTTACACTTGAAAGCAAAGACATATAAGACTGCTGATTCTCAATTACAGGAAAGAAAGATGACCTAATCTTTGTTTAGTCCATAACATAACAGACATGCTTTGCAGAGAAATCAGAGCCACAATTTAAATAAAAATGGAAAAAAGAAAGAATATTTCTTACGTACAGTTTATCTGAAGCATGCTAACAAAACTCGATAGATTAGAAATTACAAAAATAGGCAAGCTAAAAAAAAAAAAAACACTCAAGGAATTGAAAGTATCATCACATACTATTGCTCCAAATAGCTCAAGAATAAATAAGGTCCACTTCCTGAAGGCACAATATTATCAATCAAACCTGCAAACAAATCCTCAAAGTAGAGAATAGTCTTGGAAGTAGCCTGCAATGAAATATTTTTAAAAAATGAAAGCTTGATAGATAATAAGATGGCAGCCTGTAAAAACAAAAAATGGGCTATTACAATATTTTTGTAATACCCCAACAGTCCAACAAAATGCAGGAAAATGAATAATGTGAATGCATGAGCTCATAATGGGCAAAAAGAAATTTATAAGTTCCTATGCCTTCAGTTTAGGTGAAGAAATAGAGATTGTAAATAAATAAAATAAAATAAATATAGAAGCATGTTTACATGGTAAATGTATCTCATAGATCTTGATACCACGAAAGAACCATATATCTCCATGCATGTGCTTTGTGCTAGTTAAGAAGATTATAGAACAAACACCATATTGTATTCCCCTCTTTTTTTCAGTGTCATTAAGGCATTAAGCAATTCCATGCTTCCATAACCTATCTCAAGTCTATCAAAAGCCTAAATTTCTGAGGGAAATTACACGAAAACCTGCTTGTTCAATCAATGCAAATGCCATGTTCAACATATATTCCAAAAATGCATCAAGCTAATGAAAGGAAAGAAATACTAACATCAGTGAGTTTGCCATCTTGGCTTCTGACAATTTGGACAAGGTAATTTTCCTCGTTGCCATCTGCAGTCAATTGGAAGAGTCCTAGAATGATACAATCAGGACGAACCCACTTGATAGAATCCACTGACACAATAATATTAAAAAGGTTCAACTTCATGTGTTAGAAATGCAGACAATGTAAATAAA